TGGAAAACACTCAGACGCAAAGTGACCATACTTATGACAATTGAAGCATTCTATATTCCTTTTATCTTTCTTCTTTTTCCAGCCTTTCTTGTAACCTTTCTTGTCTTTGGAATCAGATGTACTGGTATCGGATTTCTCATCTGGTTCTTCATTATCAGCGTTGTTTCCTTCTTTCTTCCACTTCCCTTTTCTTGGTTTTCCTTCCCATTTCTTGATCTTCCTTTTCTCTTCTCCTTTTACGTATCTGACTTTCAGAGCTTGATCATCACGTTTAGACTTCCTTTCAATCTTCCTCATTTCATAGGCTTCTAAAGAACTTTGAAGTTCCTCAATCTTGAGTTTAGAAACATCCCTTGATTCCTCAATGGCAACAACTATGTGGTCAAACATTTCCGGTAACGACCTCATGATTTTTTCGATGACCATCGTGTCTGTAATCTCTTCACCACAGGCTTTCATTTGATTCTTGATCGTTATGACTTGACTGAAAAACTCATTTATTCGTTCACCTTCCTCCAATTCCAGATGCTCGTACTGTCTTCTGAGTGCTTGGAGTCGCACCTTCTTAACTTTTTCTCCTCCCGAATAACATCGCATCAAGATGCCCCATGCTTCTTTAGCTGTAGACGCGTTCTGAATCTTTTCAAAATGGAAGTCATCAACACATTGATGAATGAGCATCAACGCTTTATCATCTTTCTGCTTGAACTCCTTTTCTTGTCCTTCTCTGCCGGAAGAATCATCCTCTGTCTTCTCAATGACTCCACTTACACCTTGCACAAGGAACACCACCCTCATCTGGGTGCTCCAGCGGTTCCAATTTTTATCTGTTAAAATTGGAAGTTGTGATGATGAAAGATCAGCAGCCATTCTCACGAGCCAAGAACAACAATCTTGAACAACAACAAAGACACCACCAGACACAACAGAAGCCTGGAGAGAAACAACGAAAAGCCCACACGCCCAAGGTAAGGGAACCTTGGCTCTGGATACAACTATTGGAACATACGAAAAAAGACACAAAACACAAAGGGTTTGCAAAGAGAAAGATAAAGCAAAACGAGAAAATTTTACAGAGACGTCTGCATGGAATATATAGACATGCAGAAGGTTTATACAGAAACAGAGCAACTAAACAGAAACTAACTAAAACAGAAAGAGGTTTGAATTACAACAGCTAACATTAATAAGTAGAATAGATAATAAAAAATTAGGTCAATTTTTTTATATGGTTAAAATAATGTATTACTAAATATATAGTTTTAATCATCAGTTTTTGACTTGTTTTGACTGATTTTATTTAATTTTGACTAATTTTACAATTTCTTTTACTAACTCTTCTTCACATGAATTTTGTTATTTTTTAAAATTAATTTGACTAATTGTTAAAATAAAATAGAAGCGATAATGTGGATTGATTTATCCTACATAATTGTGGACTAATGTATAAAAAACGTATTAATACTGCTTTCTTTAATTTGGTGATTAAAGACACACAAAATGAAACTTAAACAATATATACATTGTTGGCCGCAAAACCAACAACAAATGCACCGGTCGCAGCGTAGCAAGTGATAAATATCGTTCTCTTCCAAGGGACTTGTGTAACATATGACAATTCTTCCTTTTAGAACTCAATTAGACATCAAAGTGCACAAAACAACACAATAAACTCTTTTTGGTATTTTATCGAACAGTTGGTGTGCAAGGACTTTAACATAGTGTATTTACAATTTGTCAAGACTAGAATTCATCCATTTCATTCTCATGCATTCACAAACATCTCAATTCCATCCAATAGGTATTCAATTTCAATTATAGGTTCAAATCATATTTCTCAATACATCAAGAACCAAAAATCATGCATGGGTGATCAATCCAAAGCAAGCATTAAGCATGGAAATTGAACACTAAAGTAAAATAGAAGAGCATATATCATTAGCATCACAAAATACACAAGAATTCCATGTTTTACAACTAATCTCAACAAATAGAAAAAATCCTCAATGGTGGAGAACTTAGGGTTCTACAAAATTGAAGAGATAGGGAAGAGATTGAAACCAAAGAAAATATGCATAGCCTTTCCCAAGGTTCTTAGCAGCTGCTCCATGCTCCATCTGCGCCTTCCGTTCGCAATTGCATCTCCAATTCGTGACCCATCTTCTTCCTCAACCCAAAAGGGGCAAAATCACCATTGATGAAGCTTGAAGACCCAAGGAGGAGAGGGAGAGCTTCCCAACACCCCAAACAGCCTCCAAGGGCCTCTCCCAATCACTCAAGGTGAAGAATGAAGTGTAGGAGGAGAAGAATGCCCAAAAAATCGCGAGACCCATGTTTAAATAACTCATTTTGACACACCAGCGTCGCCACCGCTCAACTGCACCCCAACTGCAACATTCCAGAGAGCAGGGCGCTCAGCTACACCCCAACAGCACCCCAGCTGCAGCATTCCAGAGACATATAGCTCAGCTACAGGCAGTTTTGGCAAGATTATAAAATTCAAGTTCTTATGCGATTCCAAATGCTTCCAACATGGGTATTTGCTTCAAATTGATCTTTTATTGTCCCAAAACATGTTCCCTTGAGTTCTTTCTTATTTTCCTCCACTAAAATTGTTTCCTATTCATTTATTTCACACACTCAAAAAAAGAGATTAGAGGTAAAAACAAGCATATACTAAATAAAACACAAGAAAACTAGAAAACACACTAAACTTAAGAATAAAACAAGGTAAAAGCTATGAAGGAGTTGATTTATTCAAAAAATATACACACAAAGACACGTAAAATCAATCGTTATCATACATGCAATGGGAAATTAATTACGAGTAATAACCATGATTAACTTCACACCACAAAACCACTACTTTGACATAATTCAAGTTGAATGAGCACAATCTAATTTTTCAACAATCAGGTTGTCTTGTCTTGCAAGATATGAGAAACTTCGTCATACTAACATGTCTAGTAACTCTCAGAATATTATTCATCACTACAGTTAACTTATGGAATTGAAAATAATGCATATTTTAGTGTTGAATATTTAAATTTATATTCAATAAAAAAGACTAGTATTCATCATATTTATTATAAAGAGGTATCAGTTATGGGATCCCACTCCTTACAAATTTATTGTTAGCAAGGATGTAGTCTTTGCAGGAAATGAACTTCAAAGTGAGCATACAAATTACAACTTGAAGAAGGACAAGTCGTAGTCAGATAAAGAAGAACCCTTCATAAAATTCTTCTAAGTTAGACAAGGAGCGCGAAGGACATGAGTCAAATAAGATTGGTGATGAAGAACTTCGACGATCAACAAGAGAAGAGTCAAACCATCTTGGCATTCACAATATGTGACGACAATTCAAAATGTGTATTGTCTCCTAATTAAAGAAGGAAAACCTTCAACTTTTCAAGAAGTTGTGAGTGATACAGAAGCTTCTCTATGGATGATTGCAATGCAAGAAGAAGTGAAGGCTCTTTACAAAAACAAGACATGGAGGCTTGTTGACCTTTCAAAAGGTCAGAAAGTTATTGGTTGCAAATGAATCTATAAAATCAAGAGATGAAAATGATTAAGTGGAAAGATATCGTGCTAGATTGGTGATAAAAGGATATGCTCAGAAAGAAGACATTGATTTTAATGAGATGTTCTTACTAGTTGTTAGATTGACAACAATCATAATTGTCCTAATAATGTGTGTTTCATTTGATTTACATCTTGAACAATTGGATGTAAAGACTACTTTTTCTCAAAGAGAACTTGAAGAATAAATTTTATATATATATATATATATATATATATATATATATATATATATATATATACACACACACACACACCAATCAGAAGGCTTTAAAGGATAAAAAAACTTGGTTTTCAGGTTGAACAAATCTCTATATGGTCTAAAGCAAGCACCAAGATGTTGGTAAAAGAGATTGATTCCTTCTTTTCTTCCTAAAGCTCCATAAAATCTCATTTCTCTTCCTTCTTTCTATTGTTTTAAGCACAGGAGAAGTTATTCTTAAATTTTTAAGGAGAAGTGTTGTTTTTCATTTTTGTCTATTTCAATATTATTTTCATATTTATTTTAGTTGTGTGCTTATGCAGTTTTTAATACCTAGCATAATATTTTTCCACTCGATACTTGTTTAAGAATTTAAATCTTAAAATCTTCATTTTAACTATGTTAGAAAAATGCTTCATTGAAACATGTCCACCTTTCTTATAAATTATCAACAAACTAGTATTCTGGGTGAATATTCTTTTCTTAAATAATCAAGGGCAAGAGACTTGTGAGGATAATATATATTTTTTCTTCTAATTTTATGTTTGCTTAGTTTTTGTATTTGTGCAATATTTTTGGATAGATACGATGTAAAATTCAAAGAAGAGAAAATAAAATTTAAGAAGGATAGATATTATTGAGAGAAAAAATGTCCGAAAATTAAGGGTGTTGAGTCCAAAAAGCTGAAACTCATACATTCAACCTCAAAAAAACATTATAAAAATATTCCAGAGTTCTACAAATTTGGTGTCAATAAAAATAAACACATAAAATTTGAACCAGATAGATCAATTTTTTGAACAATGAAAACATTTTAATCAACATATTTACATCTAAAGAAATCAAATTTATATGTTTGAGTCACATTGAATGCGTTTACATATTATCCCCACCAGGACGGACTATATCTACTGAAACAAAAAAACAAAATTCATGTACTAAGGTAAACTAGACTTAACTTTTCTAACTTGGGAACTACCTAGGTAAGTTTGTTCTTTGTTAACTTTCTCTTATAAATTAAATAAATCTAAGTCACCTCGAAAAATCTTATTTTAATTATATCTTTAGAGAAGTTGAAATAACATACTCTTTTACCAAATATCTCATGGTTTTTAATTATCATATTATAAACTTTTTTTTTCACCACTTAAGAAGGTCAACGTATTAATATGCTGTGTTATGAATTTCATAAGTTAACAAATTGTACTGGTTATTATCAAGACAACTCATAGGTTAATTAGTTGCAGCCATCCTTAACACGCAAAACTTTACAGATTTAATCCAATTTATTGTACATGGAAGCAATAAAAGAACAAAGTTATTGAAATCTACTTCATCCGTGTGAAAAATGAATCTAGCTTTCCTTAAGTCTCTCAACTACGTTTTCTTAACATATTTAGTTGCTAATAAGGATGCAACTGTCTCAGCATTGCCATAGAATAGGCCCAGGAAAGATGTTCATCCAGCAGGATACGACTGCATTGAATTTGGCCCATTATCAGAAACTTGTAAGTTGTTGACTTGATTGCAGCCTGTGGATGCTTGTGCATGCATCAACAAATGAAGAATTTGGGAATTGAGATTTGTTGAACTGATTCTCAGGCACTCTTCTTCTTCATTCTGGTAAATTCAGAAAGTTAAATACATCCCTTTGCCTCTCTCCATTACTACATAGTACAGAGATAAAGGCACTTAGAAGTTCTTAGTGAACTATGGACAATAATTGCTTACAAAAACTCAGTGTACACATCTTTTTGCCAAGATGGATGTTAGAGAGGAATCATTCTTGCTATTCTTGCTAAGATTATCTAAAGCTAGATATGTAGGATGATTGTAAATCTAAGTCCATAGTTCTTGCTTAATTTCTATTAGAATTTACCTACAAAAGGAAGAAGCAGAACAATTTGGTTTATGCTGGCATAACTACAAACATTGTCACAGATAATTGCTCCAGACCACAGTAATATGCTATGAAGCATGATTTCTTTAACAAAATCCATAAACTGTGCCAGGAAAAAAGGTTTACATTGTTTCAATTTCGAAATACATTTGATTCGTGACATGATATAATTAGCAGAATCAAAGTAAAAGAAATATAGCTAGGAGATCGCCTAATTTTCATACCTCTTTCTTCTTTTTCTGGTTAGGAGAACTAGTAATCCAAATCCTATAATGATTGCAACTTTTACAACCTGAAAAGTGAAGATGTGGAAAAGATATATCAGCATATTGTAGAATAGAGGAGAAATAGAAACCTCTACTGAATTCTGTTTAGGACTGAACACCTACTGAAACACAAGATTGATAAATGCAACATTGTTCATTGAAACTCAATATAAAAAATTTAAAGTAGATAATAACCTGATTAAATGGTCCTCCAGAATTTTCATCCCCATTGTTATCAGAGGTCTTGGGCTTTGAATCTTTAATCTTCACCATCTTTTCATGCTTACTCCCCTCAGTTCGAGTTCCAACATGTGCTTCATTCTGTTACAAAATAAGTAAATATAATATAATAATTGATTCTATTACACATAATTAAGCAGGTTAATTTACTCTCATCTTTCTCCAATATATGGTGGGGGCATGTTTCAACTGTCTTACCAGGGATGCACTTTTCACCCTTTCATGTAAGTCTGCTAGCTCTGTCTTCTTTGACTTATCTCTCTCCAAATGTTGAGTCTTGGAAGAATATCTTCTTTCATCTGAACTTTCTTGCTGTTTTGTTGGAGGTGGTTTAATCTGAGATTTCTTATCCTGTTTTAAGACAAGTTTCATGTGAACTTCATTTGTTGAACAGTTTTCAATAATATGCTGATGATACTCTTAAAGCACAAATTTTACTATACCTGAGCAGATCCACCTTCAAAGGCACTTATCATCTTCCTCACATTACTTGGAATTCTTCCCAGTGAGGCTCTCTTCTCAGAATATTGAAGGCCACTTTCCTCTTCATGTGGCTGTATCAGATTACTTGCCGGGACATCATTTTTTTCTGACCCAAACAAAACTGCAATTTCTTCTGAACCAATAGCTCTCTGAGGATGTTTCTCAGATGGTGACTGATAAGCAGGCTTCTTACCCTTGTGTTGTGACACAGGTTTTGTGGATGAGGACTCCTTATATTCATCTGCAATGTTCTAAAACATGTAAAATGACCATTAAACAAACAACAGTATATTTTCCAATGTCTCCTTGTTGGTGTAAAAATAGACTGAAGCAAATTATTAGTTAATCCTTAACTGGGTTTAGCTGTTTGTGGTCAAGCTGAGTCCTAGCATCAGATTCCTTCTCATCACGGGAACCAGCCAGATCTTGTTGAAGGTGTTTCTTTGGTGATTCTTGAGAAGATGGAGCACTTAAAACATCAGGAAAGAGCCTCTGAGGGAATGTAGGATGTCTCATAATTATTCAGTTTCTGTATATTTTACTCATTAATGTTCTTATTATCGTGTTTCTGCTTTAAGTTTTCATGGCTTCTCTAATCAGCTGAGTAATATCAAACCTGAGACCTCATCATTTCTGCGGAAGGGTAATGCAGCATTGCCAAGAACAGCTCTGCTGTCGCTTTCCTCTCCTCTTCGGCCACTGCTAAGAAGCTCGTCATGTTTTTTCTTCAATGCAGATTGTCTCTGCAAAAGTAAATATGTGAGAAGTTAATGTAGAGGAACACTAATAACCACAACCTCAAAATTCTGTCTCTACAAGTTAATAGCATTCAAATCAATGTTAATTGACTGAGGTATTTAATATCAAATGCTGAAGAACGTTCTTAAGCATAAGAAAAATGAATCAGTACCAATGAACGAATTCTGTCGCGCTCTTCATCACTAAGGATGACTTGCAACTTCAAACGCAGATGGCCACCCCAAAGTGGAAACTTGTCTTCCAAAACACCTTTTTCTAATATCAACTTGATTTGAATACCTGCCATTTGTTCATTAGATCCCGTTAGACCAAGTTACTGTGTCTGATTTTGAAAAGGCCAATTCAAATAGGATATGTACTGAAAAACAACCTGTACGTGATATTTCATTCCCCTCAGCATCCTGAATTTTGAAAATCAAATCATCACGGATGCTAGTTATGGGACTGAACAATATACAACAGAACAGATTATAACCAAGAAATTGTTATGACCACATATCACATAAACAAGGTATACAATCTCACAAAGATAACTTTTCCTTGTCATTCACTTGGTACTCTATTCTCCCCAAGGAAGCTGCATGCATTCACCACTGAACTTGTTATAATTGGCCTTAAGAATGTGCTTAAGGGGAGAGATAGCTACAAATTCAAAAGCAAGAGCATACCCCTTATGGATGTTGCTGAAGATAATGGAAGATCCATGAATTCCAGTACTGTAAAATGAATAGAGAAGTGAGAAAAAAAAAAAAAAAAAAAACCATCTGGGATTCAGTACTCTAAATGAAAGTTAGTACCTGAAACCATGATGGTTCCTGGCATTGCAGGAAGAAGAATTCAGTAAACCCAGAAACTCAATTAGTTAACAAAAGAATAGAGAAAGAAAGAGATTAGCTTGACAGTAGTTACTGTCCAGAACTCTAGACTCTGATCTAGGTTGAGTGCTGAAGAAAAGTGTTGTGTTGATTGACTCTGTTGGTTAAGTGATGGAAACATGGATGGGTTTTGAAAGAATGGATATGGTTAGAATCCAATGAGACCAGGTTGTGTGGTCCTTGCAACCTCAGAAACATTTATTAGCCATAAAAGCTTGGTAGAAAAAAATCCCATTTTGTCTGTTTATTAACTTGTAAGCCCTTGCCGTGACTACTCTCCTCTTACTATTCAAAATGAGACATGAATTGGATTCTTCAAATACTGTTACACTATTATTCAGTAGGAATTATGTTTTCACATTTTTTAACAGATTTCTCATACATACCAGATTGTTCAGATGACACCCATTTATTCAATAGAACATATGGTTTTATAAAGATAAAATTGTGTTTGAAAAGAGTGTGTTACTGTCATGATATAAACTGTTAAAGAAACGAAAAACAAATAACTGAAGCATGTAGTAAAAAAATGGCACTTTAAACTTGTGTGACAGGTACGAAACTGTGATGGGTTCAAGAGGATTTTAACTTTTAACACAGCTACCTTTTTTGTCCTCTAACTTATGTGTCGTTCCTTCCATGAAACTCCACTCAGTCTCCTCTAAACTGAAGCAGACTGTGTCAAGTCAAATTTAATATATGTAACTTAGAAATCCTAGAAAGGATTTGAACAGAAAAGTAGCCTAAGATGAATTTTGAAACAATTAAAAAAAAACACTTAGTAGCCTCTGCGACAGGGGTTCCAAAATGTTCTAAAAAAAAGTTTCCCTTGTAAGGTTGGAATAACTTCTAGTACTAAAGTTGTTTTTGGATCTGATTTATTTATTTATATATATATATATATATATATATATACATATATATATATATATATGTATATATATATATATATATATATATATCATAATAAGAAAATAGTTTCCACCTCTTTGACAGGGACTTATATTTTCCATGGCATATTTCTTTTATGATATTCAAGATTTTAACACATGTTATTTAAGTGTATTTAGTATAGTATTGATAATGTTATATAATTTGCAAAAATGTTCATATATTTTGCTTTTACTACTCACAATACCAAAATAGATAATATAAAAACTAATATGATGGTAATATAAAAAATAAGTGAACCGAATTAACTCTTAGGTTAAGAGGATGCACACAGAGGAAAAAAAATGTCAATACGAACTCCAAATATGCACAATCATAGAATCTCAAATTAAGAGGATCATGTTAATAAGCATTAAACTTAAGCCAACATAATAGCAATTTAGATACTTAGATGTAACTAAATAATGTAAAATTCTCTTAAAGTTATCAGAAAAGATTTTCTCTTTAAATTATAAATTTATTAAATATATATTGAATTTTTACAAAGAAATAAAAAAATATATATAAATTAAAGAGTGTGTATGGGAACTAAAAATTGAGTTATAAAATATTATTTGTCATCAAAAGAAATAATACTTAAGTTATACATGTCAGTCTAATATAGAGTCATACCCAACGCTTCAAACATAAAAAAAGGATTTACATGTAGGGTTATACTGTCATAGACCGTCCATGATGACCAACAAATCACCATTGGACGCTAGGTAGAGTAGTTGGGCGAGCTGGCTGCTTGCTAGGCGAAATTTACAATTCAAACCTGCAGTACTTGAGTTGTTGGGTAAAAATATGGCTTATCCAGTGAGTTACAAGTTAGAAAGCATCAATTTTTAGATCTCATGGGATAAGTTTGTCGGCTCTAATACGCGAAAGTGAATATTTAATCATGTTTTTGTTAGGGTTTTGAGCATTTCTTATTTTTATACTAATAGAATCACCTAAGGTGTTTAAGAGAGACTCTTGAAGGCTGCTTGGAGTGCTGGGAAACTCTCCCTCTCCTCCTTAAGTTTCCTCCACATCCATAGTGGTTTTTTTCCCTTTTGGGGTTGAAGAGGAAGATAGACTACATATTGAAGGTGAAAATCTGAAGGAGAGACAACATAACTCGTTGCCCATGTGGGTCAATGGTGGACTAATCCGCATTTGGCCGGCATAGTCTACATTGATTTAAATTCCTAAAATCCAGCAACCCTAGCACGACATGTTGTGTGTTCTTCTAAGCAACTTGCTCATTCGCTTCCTTTTCAAGTCTATGGAATAGCAGTTTGCTCATTTGTGTTCAAACCATTCAAAAGTATGTCTGTAATTCACATTTCTTTCTTGTTTCACTCTAGTTTAAAATCATTTCTATTTTGAATAAGTTTGTATTCAAAAATTATAAAATATATAATTACAAATATTACTTATTTTAAGAAATAAACTTATAAAATTATTATTTCTATTAATTTAATTAAATAAAAATAAAGTTATTAAAATTTTTATGCAAGTTAAACGTGGGTGGGTAAAAAAAAATTATCTGCATTTCAAATTGAACCGATCAAATATTAGACGAAATTGTCCATATTGTCATCCTAACTTTAATTAAGGTTGAATTTAAGTTTTAATTTTTCATATGTTTGTAGAAGTGAGACTGAGAGAAAAATGTGTGTGTTAATCTATTATATCTTCAAAATACATTGATATACATTAGTTTTAACGTTTTAAAATAAATTAAACAAAATTTTAATATACTAACATATATGTATTTTGAATGTTCAACAAAGTACGGAAAAAAAAACTTCTACTCGTCAATAATCCTTAATTAAAACATTAAAACAATGTATTTTAACTACTCAACAAAATGACAATACTTAAAACTTAGGAGAGATTACAATTCCTTAATTCACTTGCAATAATAAAAAAATGGACCAACAACCCTTAATTGAAAAATTTAATCCATTCTAGTTAGGATAACGGGTTGAACTAGAAAGAGTAGAAAGAAAAGATGAGGGGTGATGATTGGTTGGTTTTGAAAGTAACTCAAATAAAATATTAAATTAACTTTTAAATAAAAGTGTCATTAAAAATAAATCAAGTCGGTTAAAATATATCATTATTAGAATTGGTTAAGTTGATGTTAACATAACAAAACAAAGTTTATTTTATTTAAAAATAAGTTAGAAAGTATTAACTTCTATTAAAATTCATTTTTTTACATTGTTTTTAATTATTGTCATAAGTATTGGTTTCACGCAAATTAAATTAGTACATGTCAAAGTTTTTCATTCACTTCAAACTCTTTACCGTTCGGTCAAAATTAGGGTTTACATACAGAAGACATTCCGATACTAAAGCTAGTAAGGATCCGACAGTATTAGTAAATGTGTGATGAATGTAATCAACCTACTATAATACCATAAAACCTCTATTTATATATTTCATTGCCTAATTATGGCTCAATTGATAATGATTTTGCTTAGGAACGATTATACTATGCACAAGTTCCCTAAGCCCGAGCATATCTTCATACCTTGATATGTGAAGGGGTTTGTTTAGTTGGAGAGTATTCCAATGTTTTGGGGAGAGTAGGCTTTTTGTGTAACTGCTCGGTTTAAAATAGTTAGCTGTGTGTTTAGTTTGAGATTCTTGTGCTCGTTGAAACGAAAGGTCATGAATTATGGATAGTTTGATCTTACTTGTTTCACGACTGGAATTCGTTTGTCTAGGCGCCCCTTTTAACAATAAATAGGGAGTAGAGTCGTTGTCATTTTCATACTTGCTATTTATCTTCTATTCATGATCTAGTATCATATTCTTCTCTTTGTCTAAAGTAATGATGCCAACCATTATGTTTTTTTCGTCTAAGGAGTCTGAGGGAAAGAGATGCTACGGGTACGTTGACAGCGAGTCAAAGTATCATCATTGTCGATTGGGTCCTCAATCCTAGGATCAACCAAGTGGGGAGTAGCTCCGTGAGACGGAGTAACAGAAGTACACATAATAATGTTGTCTATGGAATACGACTGGACTCCTCATGAGGTAGGAGACTATATTTCCTACTTCAGTACCAGCCAGTCGTTAGAGGAGTTCGTCGATACAGTTAACTTGGTTGAAGGAGAATGTCGAGCACATCAAGTTGGGCATATGCAAGAAAAACGAGTGACCTTTCTAAGTAAGAAAATTATGCGTTAGATTTTTTTTATGTGTATTCCACAATATTTCGCAATATATCCGTCCATTTACCCTTTTTAAATTTTATATGAACGTTATTTGGGAGCTGAACGTAATTTCTATACCACTACACTCTAAAAGGTGGACCTTTATGCATATATATTGTAGTTGTCTGCAAGACCCTATACAACTTTTTATTAACACTGTACTCATTTTATTTTATATGTACATTGTTCTTTTTCAAGTATATAAAAACTAATTATTTTTTATATATTAATTTGAAGTATTAAAGAGACAATGAGTCAATTTCACGGACCAACTCACCTCGGTGTGCGTTTTCAAGCAGTCGGCTTATTTGGTTGAATCCATTTCCTTTTGACAAGTTAGACAAATTGAGTTAATGAATTCTGACTCCTACACAATATATAAAGAGCTCATAATATATTTAAATAATATGCATTTCCAATATTAAAAATATATTAATAAATAACTTATTATAACAACATCTTAAATTATCTTAATAGTTAAATAATAAAATTGAAATTTCATTTTTTAACTAGAAAAGTGAGAAATTAGTATTGACATTTAGGGTGTTGCTCCATCCACCACCATACCATGCTTCCTCCACCTCCCTAAATTCTTTTAATTTCAATTTTATCCTTCCTACTTTTACTCATTTATTTTTGCTAAGTAACTACACCCCAACCATCTCTTACGAATTCCATTTTCTTCTTCCATTTCCGTTTCACTTTCTCTCCTCTCCCATTTCCGTTTCTCTTCCATTTCCGTTTCACTCTTCTCATTTCTTGTTTTCTTTTTTTCTTTAATTATATTATACCTAATTACTTCTTTTCCTTTTTTTTTTTCCAAGAAAACCCCAAAAAAGGAAAAGGGAACAAACCCAAGAAATATGCTTAAAAAGCTTGCTATTATAGCCAATGGAGGGAAAGAATGTTAATTTACGGCTTCATGGCTTCCGCTCTCTAACCGAAAATCTGGTTAATGTGGCTCAAAGGGTCGAGGGTTTCGTTTGGAAAGATATCCATGGATATTGTAGGTAAAACCTAGGAAGTAAAGTAGAAACTGTTGATCTTTGATTTGTTTTGGGAGAGTGGTGGAGAAATGAAAAAGCACAAAGAGACTGGAGGTTGTGAATGTGTAGTAGAAGAAAGTGGGGATTTTGTGGTGAGATTTTTAGTGAGAGTTTTGGGGTTGCTGAAGTTTAAGAAGTCCATGAGGCTTTGGAGTGGAAGGGCAACGTTTTGGGTGCTGTGGCGGGAGAGTTCGAGGGAGATGAGGTGAGGGGGGAGGGAAGGGCTGTCGAGGGAGAGTTGGGTCATGGGAACGCTGTGAAAGGTGACATCCGTTGACATCGGTTTGTCGAACGAATGTTGACATTCGTTTGTCGAACAACGAATGTTGACATCCATTTATTGAAAAGTAAAAAAGGAATAAGAAAATGCAGGGAGTACTTTGTGGTGGTGGAGGGAGTAACTCCCTGACATTTATAACAAATAACATGGCATTGACATTTAAAATGCACAACATTCACCAATTTAGAAAGAAAATAGCATTTTGGTAGAATAAGCTGTAATAATCACAATAACCATATATAGATCTTTATAATCTTCATGTGACCAACATATTAAACTCAGTATATAATTCAATTTTCAAATTTCATTTTTATGTTCATATTTTTAATCATTTTTATATTATATAAATGAAAATAATTAATAACTTAATATATACTTTATTTAAAAATAAACACGGGTTAAGGTTTAATATTTCATATCCATTCCCCAAACATTATATGTATAATTAATTTCAAAGACTTGTTAAAATCAGCCAAAAGAAAACACACACATATTAGATAAAGTTACATACTATTTATCAATATATATATAATTACATTTGCTGGTGTAGCCTGCAGTTGTTCATATAAAAATAACAATGAGAAACTTGTTGTGGTAAGTACTATTTCTTGATCTAAAGTCAAGACTACTGACATTAATTTTGAATGCAGACAGGAGTCTTAATCTGAAGTACAATCCTCTAAAGGTCTCATAGGACACAAAAAGCTGTGCCCAAGTATGAATTTTCACTGTCATCATTGAGAAACCTGTTGTGGTGAATATGAAATTGAAATTTTTGAAGATAAGGTGAGGAGAGTTAAAGTAATATAAATTTAACGATTTCTGTTGATTTCTCCTCTGGAGATCTTGCAGAGACTGCCATAGCAATCACCTTTACTTTGTATAGTTCCTAAGGAACTTTTAAGCTTAAAATCTAAGTCACACCTCATATAGAAACCTCACCATAGCAGATAAAGTAAAAGTATTGACGAAGAACAAAGAGTAATGAATCAAATTATTGAAACACATTACACTATTATTTTGTATTTGTCTTCTTGTTCAAAATTCATCATATAATCAACTTGAGAAAACCACACCTCATAATTTTATTGTCCCTATTATCAGTTCCCGTACTAACATCACTAAATCTAGCGCAACACTGAGAATTTGTCTTATGATTTGAAACCAGTCTTGTAAATCTAAGAGATGTAGCGATCTGTGGGGAAGCCATGAAGTAGTCCATGAGATAAAGCCATGAGCAAGATTGCAGCTTCTTTCTCATCCTGAGGGAAAACTTGTTGGAATCTTACTGACAAATCCTCAAAAGCACCGAACTTCTTTCTAAACTTGGCTGGTTTACGCTTCTTTTTCACCAGCACTGGTGCACCCCCAGTTTTGGGCTTTTTCCCTTTGCTATGCAACTTTTTCCCCTTCTTCACTTCAGATTTCTTAGCCTCCAACTTATTTGTTCCATTTGCCTTTGTTGCAGCTCCAGCAGTAGCGCGTCTTGCCTTCCTTTGTCGAATTCCACAAGCATTGCAAAGAGACTGTAAAACCCAATTGAATTTCAACATTAAGATTGATTGTTTAATTCAAAGTTTCTAGTTGCATTATTAACATATCTGTCAATTCTCATTATGTTTCTCAGCAAATTAAAGATATTATGTAATTGCTTTGTTCTACATCATAGAAAGCTTAATTACTTATGATTGAACACACTAAAATAAAAACCTAGAGCAAATTAATTGCTTTTCATGAAAAGAAAATTAGAGGTTGAATTCGTGTAAGGGAAAATAAAAAAAGAATTTACCTTAGGACCTGTTGGTCCAGTCCTCCAGAGAGGGGTCTTAGTGGTGTGGCAATCAGCACAAACCCTAGCTGTGAGACTGTTCTTGTTTGAAGAAGAGTTGTAGTTACTATCATCAGTTACCAGCTGTGACAGTGTTGGGTTTTTCTCTTTAGCCTTCATCTTCTTAGAATTAGAGATATCTGCCATATGAGAACCTCTTTGATCTGAAATCATAATTTTCCGCACCATTCTCATCTTTGAAGGCATCCAGTTAGTTGAACTGTCTTCGCCTTGAAGATTGTCACACTCTTCTTTCTTCCAAAGTCTAAGCTGGAGATCACTTCTGTTTTCAATCTTTTCTGCTTGATGATCCCATGATCCACCGAAACAGACAATCTTCTGGGCCTACAGATCACATGATTAAATTCATCAAAACAAAAAGATATAGATCATGAATATGATCATGTTCTACATATCATACTCTATCTATATAACTATAAATAAGACAAATTAAGCTTGTTGTTGTATATACACAAGAGAACATATTCTAGCTTCAACAAAAAAAACTATATATATGTATATATTCTCACCTCTTGAAGATGTTTTGATCCACAATAGCGAAATCCTCCTTGATCCTGATCTGGGTTGAAGAGAATAGAAGTAGATAAAGAAGAAGATGAAGAAGAGACTTGATGGATTGTACTGAAGAGAGTGTGTGTATGATCTTCATTGAGATCTATAGACATAGGTGAAGACACCACTGAATAACGATAAGTTGGTATCATTGGTTCATGCATTGCACACAAACCAAGTAAAGAGAGAGAAAGAAAAGAAGAGCGTGAAAAAGATCAGAGGCACTGCAAAGCCGAACTTTTGTCTAGTTATTATAAAGAAAGGTTTGGAGAAGAAAAGGAAGAAGGAAAAAATGAAAAAAAAAATTAATAAACGGCAAAAAGATTCTGATTCTGAACGTTTCTGCTACACGAGTCATGGTAAAACTCGTTAGAACAGAAGATAGATATTACAGCCTAGCACCACCTTAGAGCTATCACTATAAGACATTCACGTGACTTGGAAACATCTAAAGCAGACAAATCGAAAAGACAAACGGATTCAGGAGAGTGTGGATTGTTATTAGGCTGTCCCCATGAGTATGACAAAAACCCTACAATTTTCTTTTTTTTTACCATTGTCTAGATGAAACTTTGAACTATGGAAGAGATATGGTAGCCACACATGATGATATAGGGATAATGTAGTCACACATCAATAACCAATAATTTGGTCACAAGAATAATCTTCTAGCATGAGTCAAATGTTTTTTCTGCCAAACATATTTTAGTTTTGTCACCTAAGCTATGGCTATGATTGAGAAGAGGGTTCTACATATATAGAATCTGCCATATGGAAAATGAAGATACAGAATCAGTTATGTACTGCAAATCCATTTCAAAATGTTGAATGAACATGAGAAATTTGAATTTTGTTGTGATGTAGATAGAACAGTTATATAGAAAAAAAAAAATGAGTGTGGTAACTCTAAATATCATAATTCCTTATTATTGATTAACTTTGGTTAAAAACAAAGGAACTGAGTTCATTGATCACCAAAGTCTTTTTAATCAGTAAATAAATTAGAAAAAAAAAGGTTGGAATTATTGATAAGAGTTTATTAACTTATGTACAATTCATGCATTTAGTCCCTGTGTTTTATATGATCAAAATATGGTCACACAAGTGCACAAAAGATGCACAGTCTCCTTACATTAGAGTAACTCTTTCATCATCTCTTAACAAATTGAATAGGACAGATATTTATGAACCCAAATAGAAGCATATTTAATCAATTAAAAAAATATTGAATTTAATTAAATGTTAATTTAATAATAATTAAAAGAAATAACTTTCATTTACCATGTCAGATTAATGTTAACTCTAAAGACAAAATCCATCTGATTTATAAATATCATATCTAAATGCATCAATTTTTTATAATAGGATGTTATAATCAAAATGACTAAAAGTTTATAACTCTAACCCTATCATTCTCTAGACTGAACTCATTTTCTTTTCTGAGTGAGCATATGATCAAAAGAGCAAAATATAAATTAGTAGATACTCATTTTTTTCAATACTTTTCATTATTTGTTATGAAATTTCTTCAATGTTATAAATTATTTATTTTGATGGTTTTAAGAATTTTTTATTTATGAGTATTTAAGTTATTTTCTGTCGTTTTAAAACTTGTTTTATCGATCTTTAAATATAAGAAAATTATTTTACTTTTCAAATAGAATATGTCATTTACTAAATAATAATTGATTTTTTTTATGAAAGTCTTTTAAAGAAAAGTAGTAAAAAGTTTATTTACCTATCAAAATATTTGTTTATAAGTGAAATGTCTTTGCAAAAATTAACCAATTTTTTAAAATTTAAATAATTGAAATGTATTAGATTTTTGTAATCCACAAAAAACTATCTTCTAAATTTTAAATTGAAAATATCTCAAAAGACTTAGGTCAATGTTGACACTGAGAGATGAAAACTGAAAAACTTTACCAAGACTTCACATGTGAGAAGGTTGGCTTAAGGAACATCTACAGAAGTGGTGCATGGTTATTGTCAGCTTGTGTCCTAAGAGATGTTTGGTTAAGTCTCATATAGGAAGGACAACCTTTCGAGTTTAACTGTCAAGATTTAGTTTAGTTTGAAACCTCATAAAATAACCACAGAACAAAATTCTAGTCACATGTTTTTTTTTTCTTACTTTGAGAACCAACCTGGTTCTTATATATTCTACTTTTGCAGCACAGGTCAAAATTAAAAGAATCATTATTAAGGAGTAAGTACCCACCATATATTTTACACCAGTAAACTTTTTTTTATTGAATTCTTAAGTGTCACGTTGATAAATGTTTCCTTATCATGGATCCCTAATTGTAAATATATATCTTAGTCCTTTGTTTTACCATGACTTATTAAATCAGGAGTCTTAGTGTTCATTTTTTATATTTCGCGTACCTAAGTCTTAGGGGGTATTGTATTTTGACACATACCTGTCTCGATCTAGGATTGTGTTTTGTTTTTCTGTTTGTTTATTTTCTATATGTTCAGTGCTAACATACCTGCTTTTTGTGGTGGGACTGTGAAATAGGAGTAACAAGAGCTATGGTAAGTGTGCTATGAGGAGAGGAAGACAGAGGTTCTTATGGTACAGCTGATGATGAAGACAACTTTGGCTGTGTATCTATTGGTAGATGATCATACCTTGTAATTTTTGCTTTAATAGAGAACAGTACAAACTTTGTAATGTGAATAAATGTAAATTAGCTGGAGCAGCAGTTTTTTTTTTTTTTTTTGCAGATATAATAAGCATGTGACTTTGGAAAACTTAGACCTTAGTCATTGTATATACATATTATATATAATAACTATGTAGTACTTTTTTCATACAGCTTGTAATATTCTAACTGTTCTATTTATATAATTTTCTCTCGCTGATAAAAAAAAATCTATGACTTTTGAAAATAGAATTTTACATTATTTATAAATTAAAAAAATAGTAGAAGATGGAGAACTGCAGCTTTCCAGTAAATAAAAGATACAATAGAAAACCATATAATAGTTTACAACAAAACATTAATTATAATTTTCTTAATTTCTATATAGATAGTATCTATATTTTGTCTGGTCTATGTATTAGAAAAACATTACATCCTACTGAAGCAAGAATGTTTGGGAACAAGAATAATTTTTTACTCGATATAAAAATATTGATGTTGTATTTGATTGTCTTGCTGTGTGTATTTAGTTTGGTTGTAGTGGTGGTGGGGTGAGGAGAAAGAGTTGCATGAAAACATCTTGTGATCATACATTATAAGCATGGTCCCTGCAGCACAATATTTTCTGAATCTTGTGGGGTATCACAGACACAACCTTTTAACATCAACTCTCAATAATAACCCCTTTTTTTTCTTTATTTTTTCATCTTTATAGATCATTTGTGGCTAGAAAACAACTGACAAAAAAAAAGTGATCTACACATAAAAGGATCTGGTTTTAATTACATTAAAAATCCACTAATAGAATTAGTTCTTCGTTTTAGCTACTTAATATTCATTTAGCATCGGTGTGCCTTGTGTGCAGTTCTCTCCAATCATGATATCGACAAACAATGGGGAGTCGTGCACCATAGGAACTGAAGGCTCTTGTTTCTTGATGCCCTACATATTCAAACTTTGTAATTTTGTCATTTCCTTTTAGCATATTAGGTTTCTAATCAATCTATAAAGTCAGTTATGAAAAGTGTTATATACTGTAATGCAATGTAAGAATTTGCATCTCTTGATTAAGTTAGAACATAAGAAGATAAAGAATATGTGTAGCAAGGGAAACTGAAATGAGTTTGATAGGAAGTAGTTTCCTAGAAAAGATACGTGTGAAACATGGGAAAACATTTATCATAATTTGAAACATGATGTTGATGTCTGTTTGTGTGTGCTCAGAAATTGATAATGTATATGTAAGTAATGGTATTTTGAAGGATGGTAGGTAGGCTACGTATGTGAGTTGTGAATCACTACTGCTGGGTGAGAGAGACGGGCGAGAAAGATGTGTTATATGAAGTAAAGTCCAAAGTTTTGGTACTTTTCAAAGAGGGTCATATTGTGAGGTATTTGCTCTCTGTGGCCCCATCGTTTCTCTTCTATCTCTCCATCTCCTCCTTAGATATCTGGGTATAATTAACAAGGCATGCAAAGTGCTACCAACGACACACTATTTTAGATCAACAAATCACACTAAAACTAGCATCAAATGTCAAGCATCACCTGCATATTTCACCCTGTCAATGCTTGAAAATTAACATTTACAGTATGTAAAAGATATCATCATAATCTTATCTTATTTATTCAAGTCTATATATTTTAATTAGATTTAAAATTTATTTTTTAAGACTTTTTGGAATTGAAATTTACTTTTTTATCTTCTCTTAACTTTATCTTTTAATATAGATTAGTCCAACTATATAAGGGATTCACGTTACTTTCAATCCAAAATTTTAAGACTATAGTTAACGAGTCAATTTTATATAGTGTTATACTTTCTTATTTCTACTAAGTAAATAATAATATATATGAACGGTTCAATCATGATGCGACCAAATGTTAAAAAAGTCAATTAATTTAATTTAAGTGACTTTTTATAAAAAAAATCAAACAATCAAGGTTAAACAGTTTAAAGCAAAAAAATCATTTTGATCAAGTCTCTAATCAAGATTAGAGGATCTTGGATCCTAATTAAGTTAGTTATAATAAAAAATCATTAGAAGTCTAAAGTAAATTAGTAGATTATACATTAATTATATATTTATTACTTTTATATGTAGTAGACCAAATTACCTTTAACATAAAAAAATCTTTTGATAAATGAGTAGATTATACATTAATTATACATTTATGATTATTGAGATATGGATTAATTTTATACTGTTTGAAACTATATTGGAAAAGAAGATGTAAGGAAAATATTATGTTGTATAATGTTAAATTAGAGGAGACCATGTTTTTGTTTTTAAAAAATATTGTTGACATGAAATTAACAGCCATAAAGAAAGTTATTTCATCGTCATCAGGCTTTCCCATATTATAGAAAATTACCAATATGCTCTTCTGATAATATATTTGAAATACATTTTAAATTATGTAATCCCAAATGTATTCTAAATCATGTAATTCAAAACATTCAAATTGCATAATCTAATATACTATTCTGTATGGTTGAAACCATAATTATATAATTTAAATTATATATATTTCGGATGATCTCCTATAAGATTATGTAATATGTTACTTAAGTAATGAAATTGGTAAGATAACTATTTTAATTTTTTTAAAATATTA